CCTCCTCCTCCTCCTCCTCCTCCTCCTCCTTGTGTCGAGACCTCCCTTCCAGCCCTCTCGGTCTTGGAAGCGGTGCTTGAGCAGTCTCGCGGCATTCTGAAGTCCAGGGCCCCCTGGAGTCAGTGCAGCAACCCTGCCCAGGCCCTCCACCTCGTGCTTGCCAGAATAGGGGCCAGCATGAGGTCAGCCACGGAACTTGTCGGGCCAGGCGGAGAGGTGGTCGACCTGAGGTTTTTCTCCCCCGGTAGGGCGGTGGCGGCGGTGAAATACATGGCAGTCGCTGCCAACGATATTGTATCCATCAGTAAATATAAGTGCTGGCGCTCTGTTCTGAATTGGAGACCTCTTGATAAAATCTTGTTCGGGAAGCCGGGGCTGGGACTCAGTCGGCACGGCAGGAACCTTGTTCGCAGCCTGGTCTCGGGGACCCACTGGCCGCAAGCGCGTTTGCACCGCCACGGGCGGTCTATCTCGGACCAGTGCAAACTGTGTGGCTGTGTAGGCACTCTCTTCCATAGGGGGTTCGACTGCCCGTGATCTGCTGGCCTCAGGCGCACGGACATGCCTAATTCGCTTGGTGTCGCAGCCAGCAGAGTGAGCAAGCTGGGTGCTGACGAGGCCGAGCTTTTCTCGCGTTGCCTCTCCCCCTCCCCCGGGAACTGTTTTGGCCGACCTGAGGCTCCTGAGGAGCACTGGGTCAGGTTTGTGGACGCCCATCCTGGGTGGCTCTGGGGGGGGCCCATCTTCGTGGACGGATCGGCCTTCAGCACTAAGCACGGTTTTGTAGACGCGCGGGCTGGGCGGCCGTGCAGGCGGACCAAGCCGGCAATTTTGTTGCTTGCATGTATGGGGTGGTTCCGAGGGCTTGGGAGCCCGAGCAGTGGGCGCGGGACGGGGAGGATTACGCGTTTCACATGTTGGCTCGGTTTTCGGAGCCTCCGTCCGAAGGTAATTCAGGCGTGCCGCTTGAAGTGTTCAGTGATTGTGCTGGCTCTGTGGGTTGCGCCATTAATTCGTCCAAAGCTTTGGACCCCAGGAATGAGCGGCGCCACTTTTGGAAGCTCTGGTGGGGCAAGGTTGGTTCTTCTGCCACGGTCGCGAAGGTCAAAGCCCATCGGAGCGTCCAGGATGCCACGTCTTTCGAAGACTTGTGGAAGCTGCGGGGCAATCGCCTCGCGGATGAGTGGGCCAAGAAAGAGGCTCAGCTTTGGGATGTGGCCCCAGAGCAAGAACTTTTTGCGGAGGCCTGCGAGCGCAGGGCCGAGGACGCGGCCGTGTGGATGGGGAGGGTCCATGAGTGGCTCCACCAGTCTGGCCACCAGGACTCCGACGGCGTCGGCGGCACGGCTGATGTCGTCCTGGATCTAGAACTGGAAGTTTCGAGCCTCAGCCCTGACGAGGCCAGCGAGCGGGAAAGGCATTGCGAGCAGCGGTCGCAGCTCCAGTCTCGCATAGCCCTCCCGCCCGAGCTTTTTCCCGGCTCGGCCACCAGCGCGGCACCCGCGGCGGCGACCAGGGCTGCCGCCGGGAGTGGCTGCAGCGTGCTGCGCCCGTGGCTTTTTCAAGGTCATGAGATCGTTCAGGCTGCGGTGCACGGCTCCGTCGGTGAGCCTCCTGTTCTGTTTTGCACGGGTTGTGGCGGCAGCGTGCAGAAAAATTTCAGGCCTGATTCTGGGCTGGCCACCATGTGCAAGGGTAATCGGCATCCAGGGCTGGCCACGCAGAGGAGCAGGCTCCGGCGAGGCCTGCATCCTAATTCAACTC